CAAGTCCCTGTGCCGCATCCCCGATGCAACACGCTGTAGACCAGTTAGGCACGGACTTGCAGTTCGACACTCGCGTGCCGTGCCCCAGAGCATTTATTAGTACCGGGTGGAACATTGTTATTGGTGCCTGGCTGATCAAAAGTACTTCAAATGCTCAGGTGCAGACTGGGCGAGCGCCACACACTAGCCGAGCTGGTGATGACCATCTCCAATCGAGATGACATGACTGCTTAATATACACAATTGCAAGATGGCGTAACATACTTGCATCTCCATGTAATACAACATGGGTCGGGATACCTAACGACTGCAGCGCAATCACCTTGCATGTCCGGACAATTGTCTTTCGCTCGATCTTGCTTGTCAGCATCCGAGACGTTGTCCAAGCAGCTGGGTCGAAGGCGAAAACTCTGCACATCTCGCTTCACGCGCGAGACACGCTGTCGGGACAAACATAAGCATGCAAAAACATTCACATGCCTTTCACATTTATCCAGTTATCTTGCTCCAGGGACCTTATGCGCGAAGCTCCAAATTACTCGTACACGTTCAAGAAAGAGGGCATGGGCCGTCATGCAATGCTTACAATACCCACTTCACTCTTGCCAGGGCGGATTGCGCTAATGTCATGTTGGCTAATACTGCGACAGCAAAGACTGTGTACTTGCGGAGTTCCATCGACTTCCTTAGCCTCTACAGATGCTGACCCTCTGACGACATCGGACATCTAGCCTAAGTTCCAAAAGGCCCAGATCTGCTCCGTAGGTTATATGAAGCTACTGATCATGCAAGCTTTGGATCTGCTCATGATCGTGTCATGTTTGTCTGACACAAAGGCTCCGCAACTGACAGCAACTTTCAAGTTCAACATACGCATGCAGCTCACTCGACATCCGTAATCCCTTCTGCTACTGCACCTGGACTGCTTGACTGAAGTATCTTAATTGCCACCTTTCGACCACAACCTGTCCCTAAGGGATAAGCCCTGAAGTTAGGCGCATCCGAGGTAGCGTCGCGCCGTGCCGGTCGTGAACCGAGATCCAGCGGTAAGCACGAGCTGCAAATCATTCTGACTCAGGACCCTTTGCATTGGTGGTGCAGTTATGCCCGTATGTTGTTCGTCACGGTACAGCCTCGGGTTTATCTACTGGGAAGGCCTTCGTCTCGGTGCAGGGGTCACGTGCTCCGATACGATCTGACCAGTCAGTCACGAAATCTCTAAGTATCCAGGAACGTTGCAACGTCAAATTGTGGGGAAGATGCCATATATGTTATCGTCATCGTTTTGACGTACGGCCATGAACTCCACTGGCTTGCGCGTCGATTAATACCGCAGGTATAGGTGGCCTTTTAGGAACCCTTACTAGCCATTCTTAGGCTCGGCGCGACTCTTGTAGAATAGATCCGATCAAGCCTTGCCCACTACGGACCCCGGAGCAAGTGTTACTTTTTCCATGGTTCGTCGATCTTAGATGACGACGTCGTACAATGTCCTCACATGATCATTGTCATCAGCCTACACTAAGAGGCAAGACTTTCTGTCATGGCAAGACCCTGCAGCTACAATTCAGCCTCAAACAACCAAAGCCATATCCCATTCAAAGGTGCATCTCGATATTATCAGCCACGAAAGCAAATCGTCAATTGCTCGCTCACTAATGGTCGGTCATTTGAACCGAGCGAGCCGCAACACGTACCTCTACTCCACGGCTACAAATGCGCTAAAATGACGTGCATCCCAACTGAGCCATCGCTGACTCGGCGGGAAAAAAACATCAAGGGTCTTGCCTGTCTTCTCCACATTCGCGGCTACTTTCGCTGCATCCAGACTTTTCACCCCACCCTCTTCTCGCACTCAAGATCAAAACAGCCGGACGACCTCTCGGTCCTTGATCATGATTTTAGGCGTTCGGCGCCGCGCGAGTCAGCTGGTGACACCTAACGTCATACATCGCGGGACGACGCCGCCGCCAGACATTCCCATCGTATTTTGAAAAGACTACTCCGATACTAGGCCCACTCGCTGATAGATACTGGCGGATGATGGGCAAACGGGTGTGGGTACAATAACAACTAGTGCCCAGCAGAATTGTGCCATAATGCACTGAAGTGGTAAGCGCTGAGGTGATGTTAGAGACCCAACAGCAATGGTCCATCCGGAGACCCTCTCTTTTGCAAATACAGAGAGGGTCCTGCTGACATTGGTGGAGTTCACTAAAATCTGAGGTCAATCGGACTGGAGACGCTCAGCCACCACACTGTCACAGTTTGACAGCTCGGCCATACATCTAATTCGCGCATGATGCGAGCTGCCGATACAAGAACTTCGGCAGATGCAGAAAACAGGATCCCCAGTCACATGTCAAGCTCCATCAAAATACAGGGACATTGCAGAGCCTCACATATGCACGACTTCTGAAAATTGTTTGTTGAGCTGCGCGCTGTACTATCGGTGCTTCTCCGGCCCTCTTTGCTCCGCTTACCCCTCCTTCGCTTCCAAACAATCACGGGAATTACTCTGCTTTCCACGCAGTCAAGGGCAAAGCACCAGGGTCAATGCCGCCCGCTCTCGCCTTCCAAGCGAAAGTATATCCGTACCCTCTGCCTAACTGCTACCCCACATTTGCCGTCGGCTTCATAGGCATTGAGTTTGACACCTGTCTTTGTGGCTGGGAAGCGCGGGACGACTAAGCGCCTATCACTTCGCAATCGAAACGAGCTGCCTTTTAGAATCACCTCAGAGTCGGCATCCTGCGTGCAGGGGACGCCTAATTGCAGTACATCACCTCCGTGGAGCGCGTTGGTGAGAGTATGTGGGTTCTGTCCTATGTAGTAGGTACTGCGCTCCCACTGTGATGCCAAGCTGCACAACTCGCATGTGTCTAGAACAAAGGGTCATGGACTTAAAGTGTCCTTGTGCATGACGTGCAGCCACCTGTGTGTCTCGGGCTCAACTAGCCGATGCCTATCATCGACGATACATTGTACATGGCCTCGACTACCACTGGTTACACCGTGGTAGAGGATAGCCAAGCCGGAATGTTACTTCGGTCCATCCGGATTCACTCTATAGTTTCTCATGCTCGAAACTCATGTTGTCTCTATGTAGCTCTAATATCGTTAGGTTACGTGAAAGCACATTGCTCATCTACACCTTGCGTCCATCACTGATATTGCCCTGGGGCCAACATGCCAACACTATCTTGTTGAGTCAAAAACAAGTCAGCGTTTTTTTACTGGCGAGAATTCTCGACAGATAGCAAGAAATTGACTGTGAATCAATTGTGCTCTGCACGATACAAAAGTGAATACAATAATATACACTATTCGGAGTCTCTTACCCCGCCAACCGAAGTATCGACATCCCCGCATCAAGCCGACCAACAAACATAGTTCCCATACTCTAGGCATGACAAACGACGAAAGGGTCTTCATACCAAGCAGTTATCAATTTCTCAAGTTTGCCATATCACCACAAGCTTTACTTACCCATCTCCGCGCCCCACGGCCCGCACATCCAGCCAATAATCCGCGATGTCATCCTCAGGGGTCTTAGACACACACATCCATCTATGGCCTTCAACAGCCACCTCATCTTCAAATCATGGCTGGATGTCACCAGGCCACCACCTCGCTAAGAGACACGGCATATCTGACTACCTCACCATCACGTCCCCCCAACCTTCCGGTTTCATCTACGTAGAAACCGATCGGTATCTTCCTTCCGTGGAACCTCCAAGCATTAACGAATCAGACAACGACGAAGATGTAAAAGCCAAGCTGCGGACGTGGGCGAAGGAACCCTTGGAGGAGCTCTGTTTTCTGGCACGAATCGTGGAGGGAAAGCCAGAGGAGGGCGATGGGTTCGTAGAGAGTGAGGCAAAGAAGATGAAGGGATGTGTGATCTACGCTCCATTTCATTGCACTCCGCGCGTTTTCAAGGCTTATCTTGATGTTGCGAGGGAAGTGGCCGGACCGAAGCTATGGCAGTATGTTAAGGGCTTTAGGTACTTGTTGCAAGGGAAAGGAGACGGTGTTGTTGCAAAGATGTTACAAGAGAGCGAGGAGAGTTGGATCCAGAACCTTTGCGCGCTGAAAAGATTAGAAGGAGGTTGTGAGGCGTGGTGCTTTGATGTGGGTGTTGATACACATAGGGATGGAGAGGAACCGATGAAGGCGGTTGGTAAGTTGATTGCAGGACTAAGGCAGTACGAGGAGAAGGAGGGGCATGAGAATCGCGTGAAGTTCGTGCTGAGTAAGTTCATACCCTCCTCTTGCACTTTTGACCACTCCGACATCGTTATTTGTGAACTGCCTTGTTATATGATGTGGTTTAGCTAACTCAGACACCAACCCAGATCACCTCGCCAAACCCCCTTTGTCACCCGACCCTACACCCCCGTCCGACGTCTGGCTCCAAACCATGACGTCTCTCTCCTCGGATAAGGCCATCTTCATGAAACTGTCCGGCGCTTTCAATGAGTTCACTGTTTCGCCGACGCCATCAGATGTACCAACGCTCTTGACTGCCCTTACGCCTTTCCTAAATCACATCTTCCAGTGTTTCCCAGGAAGAGTCATGTTCGGAAGCGACTGGCCGGTGTGCAATGTGGGCGGGCCAGCAGGCGAGCAGGGAAGTTGGAAGCTCTGGAGAGAGGTAGTGAAGACGTGGATGGATAGGAAGGGATACGTAGAAGAGGAGAAGCAGAAGGTCTGGAGAGAGGCTGGGGAAGAAGCATATGGCGTAGCATTGTGAAGAAGCCTATGTAAGCGGCTCCTAAATGGATTCTAGTGACGAAACCATGAATGCATGAAGTCCTTGTGCACATGTGCCGATCGAATCGATTAAGATAAAGTCACATACAACATCAAGTTACATGTTTTGATCTGCAGAAAAGACTTGAAGGATATTCCATACGTAGTAGGACTAGACACTTGTATTCTAACAAATATCAAATCACAAAGTTTTAATAAGCAATGGAACTGTATTTTCCGAACAATCATGCATAGTCCCCTTCCGCACTAGGTCCTAACAGCACAATAAAGGTTGCTTTCCCTTGAGCAGCTCCTCCATCGCCTCGTTTGATGTGTCCCAAATATGCACTCAGCTCTCCATCGTCTGTAACTTCAACCGCAACTTCGCGATCCGCCCGATCACCTCGGTATGGAATCAGTCCCTCAAGTTTATGTACCGTAGTACCCGGGTGCTCGTGCATTGCCAGATTCTGTAGTTCGACGACCGAGGGCGTCTGGATGATGGAAAGCCAGACTGATTTGTTAGGGAAGGGAGTCGAGGAGTGTGGATGCAAGCGAAAATACACTGGTAGCGGTATAGACGTGTTCGAGGCGGCTGGGTAGTATTCTTCCGGGTAGTGGTTGTGTGAACTATGCTGCTGATGCTGGGTGGCTGGTTGGTACTGACCGGGCTGGTAGTGGTACCGAGGCGTGTGATCAGGAACAGGAAGTATAGCGGCGTCACTCGCGGCTAACAAGAGAGACGGGTCAATCTGTAGGTCTGAAGTAGTCGGTAGAGAGGACACGGCAGTATATGAGGCACGCGTTGCTTCCTTCCGACCAACACTACTGTGCTGTCTCCCCTTACCGCCTAGTATTGTCGGGTGTGGAGCGACGACAGGCGGTGCTGGCCCAGGCCCCGGTCCTTGGTGTACCTGTTTCTTCTTGCTGGGGTCTTTGGCTGTCTTCTCCTGCTGTTGTCGCTTCATTACATCTCGAGCGAGCACCTCGAGAGCGCGTAGCTTCCGCGCATAGCCAGGATCGTCTTCTCCTTGTGCGAGTGCTGTTGTAAGCTTCTCAGACTCATTGACCCAAGCTTGCTTCAACTCTGTCCAACGTTCCTCGCCAGCTTCGTGCTTGTTTGTAAAATGAGCCGATTTCAACCTGTTGGCAAACATGTTGCGCGCGTGTCTTGTCTGTTGAGGATTGAGACCAAGGAGGTTCTTCGCATCGGCGAGAGTCATGCGTGCATCCATTGTTCGTAAGCGTTTCGTGACGTCCATGCAGATGACATCAAGTGACAGCGCTCTCTGGCCTTTCGGACGGAAGAGCGCATCGTCATTTTGTAGCACTTCTGGCTCTTGTTGGAACACCTCGGCCAAGTGTTTATCACTTTGAATGAGGTGCTGTACAAGCTGCGACCACTTCTCCGGACCGGCGATTGTCTTCTTGGTAACGTCTTGCTCTTTGCACATCTGAAGGAAGCACTCTCTGACTTGGCGGTATTTGTCGTTGTCCAAACCGAGATAGGCTTTGGCTTCGTCGATGGTAGTTTCAGAAGGGAATCGCGGAGGTTCGCCGGGAGCGTCGGCTGGCAACCCAGCCCAGCCTCGTGTTCGACGTCTTCGCTTCCGTGTACGCCATTTCTCGTCGCTCTCGGCTTGAAGCTGTTGTTGGCGCAGTTGCTTTCGGACCACCTCTTCAGCGCTCAAACCTGTGACGTCGGGCTCAGGGAGTATAGGCCGAGCCTCGTCCACATATGCCCCACCCTCTTCCTCTTCATCTCTTTGTTGAGCAGCCCCAGACTCGTCTTCGCTTCCGTCATCGCTCGTCGATTCCTCGGCCAAGATTGCATTCCCAAGCTGGTTGATTAGACCATTGCCTGGCACAGGCTTGGCAGGTTTCTTCTTCGGCTTCTTCTGTATCCTTCCTCCAGCAGTCTTTTGCTTGTTTGGTCTGGCGACACTTTCTCGGAGTAGGAGCTTGAGCCTTAGTCGCAAGCGCAGCAGTTCGCGGTCGTTGATCTGATAACCTTCAGTCTGTAGCGTATCGACCATGTCCTTCTGTGTGTAGTTCTGCTCCCATAGTTGCTGGAGGCGCGCAACGAGGGCGGGGTTTTTGTATGCCGGGTTCTGTTTCGAGGGGAAGTCCCATCGCTGTGACGGTGTCAGCGGAGGCCTTGTAGTGGGTGATGAGAAGGGTGTGATGGTGACTTGCCTTGAACTGTGTCTGAAAGGCGCGCTTGCTAGGGCGACACAGTAAGTATCATGCGTTCTGGACGTGTTTGCACGCTAGGATTGAGAGATGACGGCGAAGGCGTACGGCAGCCTGTACGTGCTGCCGCGCGCAATACTTGCATACCTTGGAGTAAATCCCCGGATTTCCCAGTACGACATAACCTCTTCTAAGCTCCTCCGCTCCTCAACATAGAGCTGGTAGCATACTGCTTCTTTATCGTCCCAAGAGTAGACCATTCTTGACGTGGCGTTGAATCGCAACAGTAGACTGCGCCTTGCGTGAATTGCGCAAATGGTTCAACTGGAACGCGACACGACCGCCAAGATCTTCGGCCTCGGCTGGGAATGCACCGAGCACGTGGCCCGAAGACGGCAAGCGTCTCACGTATACATCGCACCTACCGAACCAGATTGCGCATAGCGGCATGTATATCATGGCTTCTCCCTGGGCGGACAGTGGTCTTGGACAATTTATTTCCTCTTGTCCGAACAACGCCCATGAAGCTCTGATTAGACCACCCTGAGCCCCTTGTACTGCGCTGTATACCGTCTACCGTACCCCACGCCCCGCACTCGATAGCTACAAAGACCATGTCTCACCAACGCAAGAACAGTCTGTGGACGCCGCCGGCTGTGCAAACCCCTCAGCTGCTGTCCGGAAAGTCCATGATCATCACTGGCGGTGTCACTGGAATTGGCCGCGCAATAGTTCTGGGATATCTCCAGCATGGCGCAAACGTGGCAGTGAACCACTTTGGCGACGACAAGTCCGCAACACAGTACCAGACCCTCGTGGACGAGGCAGCTGAGAACTTACAAGTTAGCAAAGAAGATGTAGAGAAGAGACTGTTACAAGTGCCCGGCGATGTAGGGAATCCAGAGACAGGCAAGAAGTTGGTAGAGGCTGTGGTGCAAAGATGGGGACGATTGGATGTGGTGATAAGCAATGCGGGTATTTGCGAGTTCAAGGAGTTCTTAGAGTAAGTACCTCGTTCAGCATCCGCATGGTCATGGTAGACATGTAAGAAATTAACACCAATCTGTAGAATCACACCAGATCTCTGGAACTCAACCCTCACAACAAACCTCACCGGCGCATTCCACACCATCCAAGCCGGCGCGAAGCAAATGTCTACCCAATCACCCCCGGGCGGCTCCATCATCGGTATCTCCTCCATCAGTGCGCTTGTTGGCGGCGCATACCAGGGCCACTACACACCTACAAAGGCTGGTGTGCTCTCCCTGATTCAATCTTCCGCATGCGCACTTGGGAAACACAACATCAGATGCAACGCGCTGCTACCGGGTACAATAAAGACACAGCTGAACGAGAAGGATCTCGAGGACGAAGAGAAGCGGAAGTACATGGAAGGCAGGATACCGTTGGGCAGGACTGGCATACCGAGTGATCTTGCTGGGCCAGCAATCTTCCTAGGAAGTGATTTGAGCAGCTATGTCAATGGTGCACAATTGCTGGTCGACGGAGGGCTATTCGTAAACCTTCAATGATCAATTAGAATGGTTAAACTTGGAATACACAGTCGAATAACCAAAACTTGTCCTATGCCCTTCTAATGCGGCCATCACCACTCATCCTCTGATCCTATATATTTATTCCTTTTCCACCATCGTCAACGATATCAATTCCCGTCTCTATTCCGTTACCCCTGAAGCGACCCAAATCACTGCTGACGCCGCCCCATCACCCCTCGTACATGCCATCGATGTCCACCACCTTTCCGCAGTAATCCCAGCCGCGTGGCTGTGTAGTCCAATACTGGCTCAATGCTTCCAGCTGATGACCAAGGTAGAGCTCTTGTATCAAACGAGCAAAATGTGATTGGGTGGGGATTAGAAGACTAGGATGGGAGCTGTAACGATCACCACAGCGACGACGTTGTTTCCTTCTTTGCCTTGAAGTGATACACATCGCGGGTCACGGACTCATGAGTGATAAAAATATGACTGTAGTTAGTGCTGTGGCCTAGCAAGGTATGAAGATGTGCTTTTTTTTCTGTGTTGTACACAAATACTGAAGCACACTCTGGAGACATTACCTAGAAAACACGAGCTCATTTGCCAAACACTGCTGTGTCGGTGTTGGTAGTGACAGATGTTTTGAGATGATACATGCAATCGTTTTAAAAACATTATACCCGATAGTTGAAGTGGAAACTGGGTATTGGTAGGTGTGGTGCTAACTCCGTCGCTATGACGCCCATTACAACTCCTACAATGCGTGAAATCAACCTCGCGCTACTCATTACAGTGAATAAAAATTGCAAGAGTGGATAGTGGGATCAAGAAACCTGTCAAATGTTAGAACCTGTCCGGCTCATTGTTCAAAGGGAACCCTATTGAGGAGGGTGTGTCTACTCGTTGAGAGCATCAATGGGGGTTGAGAGCAGTTACCTCAGCAATATTCTGGCGCTCGATATAACTCTCCTGCCTCACGTCTCTACCAACGCGCCAATACGAGTCTGTGTAATCGGCACAGTTCATCTCGCGCAGGAACTGCTCGTCGTGGGTAATGACTAGTAGCTGGAAATTTGCTTGCTTCCTGCGGCTCTGGATGATCTGGGACAAGGATTCGGCGAGGCCCTTGATATTCTGCTGATCTAGGTTTGTAGTGGGTTCGTCGAGCGCGATGAGACCGCAATTTGTGCCGAAACACTCTGCAAGTGCGAGACGGATCACGATGGAAGCAAGAACCTTCTGGCCAGCGGAACATCGACCTCGCATGTCCATCTCAGTGTCTTGCTTCACCATCACAACGCGATAGTTGTATGTCCGGTTACCTTTACCATCGCCGTCAGATGCGATGCGAATCGTGTCCACATCAGTGCCTTGATACGCGTTGCGCCAAAGTTCAGCTAGGATGCGGTTAATCTCCTCCATCTTGAGTGTATGATACTTCATGATAGCTTTGTCGAGAGCGCCAGCGTAGCGTCCCAAGTCTTCGATAGCAGCCTTAGTCGTCTCGACCTTGATATGCGCCTCGCGATATTGCTCAGCAGAGTTCTTGTAGAGATCTTGCCACTCTTTCATAAGGTCTTGCAGATGGTCGTCTTTGTTCTTCATGTCGCGCTCTACGCCTGTCTTGGCAATACTCAGTTGTCTATATTCGTTGTCCCAGTATCGAGCTTGGTTTTCGAAGTGTTCCTTGTCACGCTCAGCTCCTAGCTCTTCAAGTTTCTTGATTTCGACTTCCAAGCTGTCAAGTGAGCGCTTGGCTTTTCGGTAGCGCAAGTTGTCGCTAATCGAGCGCTTGTTCGCCTCGGTGTCACGCATAGTGTCTTCAAGCTTTTTGATTTTACGAGTCGCATCAGACATGTCGGTCTCGATGCGTGCGATCTCACCCTGTAGATTCTCAATTTCTCGGTGAGTGCGCGCAAGCTGTTGTGGCCCGCCACGATTGACGTACGAATCGATTTCTTCGTTTGCCTGGTTAAGTTGACGCACACTGTCGGACAATCTAGAGGCTTCGTCATGGGCACGCTGAACGCGATCGTTACCCCTGCGATTGATGTCGTCGTACTTATACTGCGCTTGCTCAATCTCAGGATCAATGCTGCTGATCTGCTCGTCGAAGCTGCGTATGGCCTCTCGCTGCTTGTTGTTCTCCTTCTTGAAATCCTCCACTCGATCAGCAAGAGCCCTCTTCTCTTTTAATTTTGATTGTGCGCTGTTCAAGTCGGCGTTGACGTCACGCACGCTCAGCTCTAGAGTTGTAATGAGGTTGCGCGACTTATCTCTAGCAGCAGTGAGTTGCTCGAGCGTTGTCCTAGCGTTCCGACTGTCTTCAGACACTCGCTTCAGATCGGCCTGAATAGCATCGATGCCTCGCGAAAGTCCGGCAGCCTTCTGCTTCTGTGCCAACTCTTTGATTTCCGCCTCGAGTTCCTGCGCCCTGCTATAGTACCCCACAATGGTCTGCACTTCTTTTGATAAAGATTCGACCTCCTGCTTCGCAACTTCCAGATCATAGATGACAGCATCCTGATCCTCGAGCTGCTTGTTGAGAACGTCGCGTTCAGCAGTCAGCTTGGCAAGGCTAGAATGAATTGCAGGAAGTTCCGTGTCTCGTAGACGAGTTGCAAGTTCGTAGCTGGGTTTAGCATTACGAGCTGCCTCAAGTTCAGCGAAGATTTCTTCCGCGTTGTCTGCTTGCATGTTCTTCTTCGCCTTTGCGACGATATCCTTGAGTCCGCCTATGAAACCCGCAGTCGTGAAGTCTTCTTCCTCATCGTCATGAAGGCTTCTCTTACAGAGACGGCAAACATTGTGCTGCTCAGCGTACTGCAGGCATTTGCTCATGTAGTCGATCTGCGCCTCAAATTTGGCTTTGTCTGAAGAGCTCGCCTCGTATTCCTCCTCCAGCTGTGCCAAGGTTTCGTCGAAATCAGATACGTCATCCTTCTGTATAGACTGTTTGACGGTCGCTTCGTACTTCTGGAGCTCAGCACGCTTCTGCTTTAACTGCGACTCCAGACTTGACATCTGAAAGTTGACCTTGTCCAGTTTGGTCTGCGCAATATCGCGGCGAGACCCAGCCTCCTTAACCTCGCCCGACTTCTCAGCCAGTACCTGCTGGAATGTTGTCTCTAGAGTCGCGGGATCCCAATCGGAGTCAATTAGCTGCGAAAGGCGCTGGTTGTGCACCTTTTTCATGGTTGCTAAGCTGTGTTGCTGATTCTGCAGCTCATCTCGTTTGACATCAACTGATGCAGACTCGCGAGCCTGCTTTGAAGCGTCACCAAACTCAGCCGTCAGCCTCTCTTTCTGATCTTCGAGTGTTCGTACGTCGTTGGATGCTTCGGAGATACATTGATCGAAGCGCTCAGAATTCGCTGTGGCAATGGCAATCTGAAGCTGCTTTTCGACATCACGCTTTTTGTCTTGGAGAATGGCCTCACTACCCTCATCGGCCTTGATTTGATTCATGTCCTTCTGAAGTTCGGAAATGCGCTTGTCGTTGTTTGTGATCTGGCTCCGCGCAGACTCCTTGCTCTGGCTGAGACCCGACTTGCGTGTGTTTAGCTCATTGAGGTTGTCTTGAGCCTCACGTAGGTCGCGCTGCGTCTCCTCACGAGTTCGATCAAGAACCTTGTTCTGGTCGCGAGACATTTTGTTCAGGATTTGTTGGAATTCTACCACCTGCTTCTCCGTCACGTCATAGTCAAACCCTCGGACAGCATGTCGCTTAGCAGCTTCTTTGATGGAGTTTTCGCGCTGCTGAATTTGACGCTCATACTGCTCCTTTTGCGCCTCGTATTTACCAATCTCACTCTGCTTCGCTCCAAGAGCGTCTCTGTCATCTTCAAGTTCGTTCTTGAGCTCGAGATATTGGCCCCGAAACTCTTTGGCTTGGGTAGAGTATGTGGCGACGCGCTCTTCATACTGATCTAGCATGTCCTGAAGTTCGTCGTCCGACTCGGCCAACTCCTTTATGCTGTCTTGAAGCTCGGTGACATTTTGCTTATGGATGCCCAGCGTGCTGCGCTTGGCTTTCAGCTCTTCAACCAGCTGCACGAAGCGCGCAGCGTGGTCGTAAGCGTCCGAAGCTTCCTGTTTCGCCGCGGTACATTTCGCATCTAGGTCTTCGTACGAAACTCGCAGCTCCTCGATTTCATCATACAACCCAGCCTGCTTTTCTTCGCTCGTCTTGGCGCGCGACTTGTCCTCTTTGGCATTGGCTTCGATAATTTTGAGCTGGCCCAAGTCAATATTTTTGTCTTTCCGGATCTTCTTGATGTTGTCGATAGCTTTGGTGTATTTCATGGCTTCGAAGATTTCGTCAAACTTCTTTTTGAGGGTAGATGCGTCGCTCAAGGGCCACAAGCTGTCTTCTTGGTGGCAGAAGATGACGTTCTCTAGGATGGCTTTGGACACGCCAAGGTACTGAGGGATGATCTGGTCAAGCTCGGCAACACGGGTTGAGATGGAATGCTTCTCGCCATCTTTGATCATGAGGAGTGAGCCTTCTAGGGTCTTCTGGCTCCTCGCGTTCTTCTTGACAGTGACTTGCATGTTGCGAGTGGCGACCATGCGCACCCCGGAAGTAGAGCGGAAAGAGAGTTTGACCTGCGCCATGAGCTCCTTCTCATTGCGCAGGCTGGGGTCGTGGAGGAAGGCGCCTCCAGTCTTGCTGCTTGACGGCAACTCGCCGGTAGTCGCATACTTGAGGGACTCGATGATTGTCGTCTTTCCAGAGCCGTTCCAGCCGACAATGAGGGTGAGTGGCGCGGTAAACTGGATGGTCTCGCCCTTCTCAGGTCCGAAGGAGCGGATGCCCTGTATCATCATGCGGTCGATTTTGGACATGATGACGGTACGCGCTGCTGGCGCTGGCACTGCCTCTCTGTGGGTGTGCGGAGGGGTTTGTGAGGAGATGCGGCTTGCACACCCGCGGTCGAGCTGGTAAGAGAGCGTGTGGGCTGCTGCGTGCGCAGGCAGTCGGCGGCAGCCTGACACGCGTTGTGCCTGTGGCGCGGTGTCACGTGTCGGGGAAGGAGCAAAAAGGCCGTGCACATTGGGCTTGCAAGCGCAACGGTGTTGTCGTCATGCCAAAGTTGCGCATGGGCATGCACACAACATAGAAATCCCATCTTACTTTCGGGGAAACCGTCCGCGCCTATCACCCGCGGTTTCACTACACGACTCCACTCCATATGCAAAATCAAACGGTCGTGCATTTGCAAAGCCATGGCGCAATACCAAAATGGCGGTGCTGAGGTACGATGACTAGCCCTGCATCCCCGGCAAATCTGAACGACAGTCTCATGTGTGTAGATGATGGCCGGACTCCCCATGCACGCCCAGGGCCAGGAGTTTAATGGGCTGTCCATGGACGATGGCATGCAGTCGATGGATCTGGATATGGGGTCTCTGGACGGAGCCGAGGGCGGTCAGAACAGCGGCTTCTCCTTCGCGGATCCACAGATGCAGGCGGCCAGTGTACCAGCCAGCAGCACCATGGGCGACATGCAAATGACAGGCGCAGGCGCTGGGCCTCTACCGACCGGCTTCGGCGCCCCCAACATGAACCCCTCTGGCAGCACACTGACCGAGTTCACCAAGCGGCGGAACTGGTCGCAGCGCGTGCTCGAGGAGCTGCGCGACCTGCTGCACATACTGACTCCCGACGGCAGGATCCTCTACGTCTCGCCCTCGTGCAAAGCCCTCACGGGCTGGGAGCCCTCGCACGTCATGGGCCGCTTCATCAACGAGTTCATCCACCCCGACGACATTGGCATCTTCGTCAAGGAGTTCAACGAGTCCATCGCCTCGGGCAACCCGCTGCGCTTCTTCTATCGCTTCCGCAAGACGGATGACTCGTGGGCCATCTTCGAGTCCCACGGCCATCCGCACCTCAGCAGCGACCAGAACACGTTCGCGCCGCCCAACACCATCAACTGCCGCGGCTTCTTCATGATGGCCCGCCCCTACCCGACCAAGAACGCCGCCCTCCTCGACTCCTTCCTCGAGCACAAGATCGAGAACGAGCGCCTGATGAAGCGCATTGCCGAGCTTAAGCGAGAGGAGCAGGACGAGCAGGACGACTGGGCCAAGAAGATCGAGGGCACTGCTACCTCCGTCACGCCTTCAGAATCACACGTCACGCAGAACATGAGCCAGGCCGATGCCGCTTCCTATGCCCAAATGCCTCCGCCAGCCAAGCCCGTCATCTCAAACACCGCCCTGACCCGCCAGAACCTCGACGAAGCCCTCGCCGCAAGCAAACCGGACAGTATCAACGACAAGATGATGCGGTACGAGGGCGCAAACCATCTCGAGACAATCGAAATGTTGACCGGTCTTCGGTACAGGGACGGCGAGCGCTCGCAGGGTATCAGCACCGGCGATGCAAGCCCGAACCTTATTCGCGGCGACGCTGGCATACAGATATCGCTAGACCGCGATGGCAGAAATTCTTCTGACAAGAAAAAGAAACTCAAAATTGCTGATGAATATGTATGCACAGACTGCGGCACCTTGGACTCGCCTGAATGGCGCAAGGGTCCAAATGGGCCCAAGACGCTATGCAATGCGTGCGGACGTGAGTCGCCAAATCCTGGTCCAGGAACATGTGACATACTGACTGTGATAGTGCGCTGGGCAAAGAAAGAAAAGAAAAAACAACAAGGTCCTACCAGCATGCCGAGTGGAAGTGGCATGATGCATACACCATCAATGCCAATGCATAGCAGTACGGGCAGTAGCTAGACCTACTTGTATGCTGCAGGCGACCTTGATGCTTGTTTTTATTAGTACAAGTGCGATTTGATACGGGTTCCGTGGAGTTTCTTGCGGGTTTCTTTATTCACTATTTTTACCGGACTTATAGGCGTTGGGCATATCAACGGCGTTGCATTTGTGGCTCTCCACGAAATACGGGGCTGATGTTCTTCAGGATTGGCATATGATTCCCAGGACCATGGATAGATTCAGGCTTAGCAACGATACCACCTCTCTGTAACGACAATTGCAAACTGCGATAGCAAATGATTCATATATCACCAATCCACAGCGAGCCCTAAGCGAAGACGCTGGAAAGCAGTCTGCGGCATTGCCAAGAGATGTGCAACAAGCATAGTATACGCGGAATGATGATCCTCCACGATTACGCTGAGCTATCGGCATGTGAGGCTTCCACGACTAGTGGAACTTCCCGAAAGATCTACCATCAGATTTTGGGGCTCACGCGTCCTCGTTTCCCTGATTTGCTCGTACATTTCGTTCGTTCAGTTGGGTATCAGAGTGTACGAGCCAGCCAATCAGACGGCAAACATCAGTTGCCAAATGTGGCAAGACCGGCCCTAGGGCACATAGCCGCTTGAACAGTCTTGGACTCCAGAATCCTGGTAAACGTTTTTGAGATACGCGAGCTGCGATGTTAGACCTCATCGTGTGCGGTGTGAGTGTTAATACGACATCTTCGAGGTCTAAAACAAGGACTTTGACTTCAACCTATGTTACTGCAACCAAGATCAGATCATTCCATCGTTACCCAGACTCGAAAAGCATACTTGAAACCTAATGGATCTGCTGAACTATCCAACAAAGACTGCGCAATCTCCACAGGGCGTAAAGAGCCGTTGGACCCCAAGACACGATATGCAGATCCCAACTAAAGTCGACGTCAGCTCGGATCAAAGAGCGTGATAGCTTATGGAGGGCAGTGCATGTGTTGGAACTTTCTACTGTTCATACTCTATAGTATAAGAGAGAGTGGTGGTATCTCTCTAATGCTCATTATCCCTTCTCCAACGCCAACAAGGAGCTATAGACTGTCTTCGTCCTCTTGCCTCTTACTTTCGATCATACTCCGCTAGTGCCAAAGATGATTAGTTCTAGAACTATTGCAGTCTCTTTGCTCGTCCCTACCGTACTCTCACTATGTCCACCGCCAGGGGCAATCCTTCCACCACCGTCACTCGAGCCCAATACTTCCAATTTCAGCATATCAGAAGTCCTTTTTACAAACTCGACTTCAGTCCAAGTACAAAACACTTCCTTCGCAATCCAGGCTTCTATTGGAAACACCATAGTCTTCCAGTATGAGCATTCGGCTCCTGGTCGAGAAGTCAACCAATCGCTTTTCGACACCAAGATCCGCATCGCTAGTGCTACCAAGCTGATCACAGCGCTTGCTCTGGAGTTGAGCAAAGACAAGATTGACTTAGATGATCCGATTACTAAGTTTATCCCTGAGCTCAACGAGGAGTGGTACGGCGATGTGACTATTAGTTCATTGACTGATCATACTTCGGGTCTTGGTCGATTTGTCAGTTTCCCTATACCTCTCGCAAAACCTCTCGCACATGGAAAGTTAACACATCACAACAGGGTTACACGACCGATCTTGGATTCAGCCCAGCTACAGCTGCCCTCCTAGGCCTGCCGAAGATCAACAACACACTTCCCGGCTGCGACCCCATTCCTGGCGGACGAATTTGCACAGATCAAGAAGTAATAGATGAATTCAACAACGAAGCATACGTACCCCATTCGCCTGGGTCGCGCGCAATGTACAGTAACATCGGCTACATACTCCTCGGCAAAGCTCTCGAAACAGTGTACAACCAGAGCTACGAAGAAGTTATACAAACGTTGATCCTAGATCCTGTGGGTATGTCAAAGTCGACTTTCATCGTTCCCGAAGATGATGGAAGCGCGATCTTACCCAGACGTCCCGAGGACAAAAGTTGGTTCGTCGCCGACTTTGCGAATCTGAACCCTACAGGTGGCCTGTGGTCAACACCGGCGGATATGCTCAAGATGCTCCATGCTCTCAAGAACGGCGAACTGCTTGGTAAAGTCGAATTGAGGAATTGGATGCAGCCAACGACTTTCTTACGCTCAATGCATCAGTACGTTGGTGCGGCATGGGAAATCTTCCGGATCACGGACCTTCCACTCGATTTTCCACGACCGATTGACATCTATACAAAAGCTGGTGGTGTACCAGGATACGGGTCTTATCTGGTGTTGATTCCGGAGTACGATATCAGTATTACCATCAATGCTGCTGGAGGCGAGACGTCCTATACTTCCATTGACCTTCTCGACACTATCACTACAGCATTGATTCCCTACGCTGATCAACTAGCGCGATCACAAGCCTCGTCAAAATACGCTGGCACATACATGCTGCCAACACCAATTGGAAACAATACACTCATATTGTCTTCCACCTCCGGCCCAGGACTTACCATTGAATCATTGACTATCAACAACATCTCTATCGTCGACGCCTTGGCTAAGCGACAAAACGTTCCATCTAAAAACTTTAGCGCACGCTTATACCCAACTGATCCAGACTCGCTAGGCACCGACAGTGAAAACTGGAGGATGCTACCGGATCAGACAGTTCCTGCGAAGAAACTGTGGGCGGAGCTTGAGTGTATGAGCTGGAACCTGGGGGACTTTGCTCGTTACGTGAGTGAACCACTTGACACGTTTGTATTCCACATGGACGCGGATTGCGGAAAAGTTGTGAGCGTAGAGCTGCTGGGTTGGAGAACAAATCTAGTAAAGATGGAATGAGTGGCTTTCGCCGCTGTAACTTGAATTCGCAAGTACGTAATGGTTTAGTAATCCGGAAAATCAGTGTCAACAGTACTTCTCCACGCTTCTAGACCTCCTTTGATATCCCCAATATATCTCTTGCCTCCTGCATCGAGCCCTAGCTGCTTCATCTTCTTGACAGTGACTTGTGAGTCATTGCCCAGTCGACACACCACAAATATAGGCTTCTCTGACTGCCGTAACATTTTGGTCCAAGTCTCTTCTTCAGTATCGGAATCAGGTCCTCTCGTAGCTGAAATTACGGAGAAGGGTACGTTTATACTACCATCGATATTGCACAACTCGAACTGCACTTTCTCGCGTACGTCGACAAGGAAGTGACTGTCTTTTTTTGACACCGTACCCGTAAAAGGGTTGACACCCGATCGTATTTGCGCGTAGTTCTTTGCAGATATGCGTTCTTCTGGGGCCAACGGACTATTATTCGCAACTAGACTGCCACAGAATTGAACGTAGTCCAGACTTCCAGACTCTAGTGCTTCTTTAGTGATCGTTGAATGTGATGAGCAGGCAGCGCATTTGGCTTTTCGACTCCTAAGACGTATGGAGCGGTACATAGGATTTGAATAGGCTGAAAATAGGAGCAGGCTTGGTGGGTCTATCGGCGTCGTAGTAGGTTTCTGGGTCAGAACCTTAATCGCTTCAAGTGCTTGTAAAACGCCCATCACGCCAACGACAGGTCCTAGAATACCACCATCGCCACATGATACGACAGACTCAGGTGGAGGAGGTTTTGGAAAGACGCAGCGATAACATGGGCCTCCATTCGGGTCGCCAGGCGGCAGTGGTGGGTTATTCAACACCATCATCTGACCGTCGATGCGGAGCGCTGATGCCGAAACAAGAGTCTTGCCTAATAGAACACAGGCATCTGATATCAGATAGCGCGATGCGGGTGTGTCTGTGCAATCCAGGACCAAATCGTATTTCTTGAAGGTTGAGATGGCAGTCTCTGGACTGAGTCGAGATATGTGAGGGACCAATGTGACGTTGGGATTGAGCCTACCTTAATGAATTAGTTGGAGCCCTAGTGTATAACGTTCACGGGTAGACGCACGATTTCAGAGCCACCATCGCACTCTCAACCTTGGTCATTCCGATTCTCGCAGTTGAGTGTAGGATCTGACGGTGCAAATTCGATTCTTCAACCACGTCACCATCAACTAGTCCTACAGTACCGATGCCTGCACCAACTAGATATGCAGCAGCAGGGCAGCCGAGACCACCCACCCCTACGATAAGTACACGAGCATCTCTCAAGCGAAGCTGACCTGGGCAGCTCGATTCAGCAAATTCCTAGGGACATGTGAAAGACTTGACTTACCTTTCAGTCCAATCTCTGGCATGATCAGCTGCCTGCCATATCTCTTGTATTCATTCTTCCGAAGTGGCCATCTTGGCCTTTCCTCAGATACCTCAGACACGCTATGTTGCGGCGCCTTTTGCTCTTGGTCTAGAATTGCGAAAATCTCTTCACGGAATTGATCAGGTACTCCAAAGTTCATATCATGATCCAGGGGGTTGGTAGGGTCAGTAGCTAGCGGTCTTTTCTGGGGCACAACTTTAGCTGTTTCGCGTTGGTTGTGCTCAGCTTCCGCCAGCTGTTGACGTAGATCCTGTAGTGTGACTTCGCATGACGCAATTTGCTTGCGCAAAGAGCTGATTATCGAAGTCATGTTGGTGTTGCCGGAAGATATGCCCACGTCGTGACTCTTTGGGATACGTGTGGCGGTTCGATGTGGGGTCAAGTCGTCGCTACCGCCCGTGGGGCCTTTGACTAGGCTCAATCTAGACAGTAGATGCACGTGCGCTGAGTCCTTCACTCAAACACGATGCGCCGTCCCACAGTCACGGGGAGAGACATATGCAGCTTACTGGTGCCAAGTAATCAATGGAAAAGGATCTGTGTTTCGCCGACCTATGAGCGCTGCATCTCCTGAATAGTCATCTCTAGGTTTAGAAGGCGGAGTGACTGACGATGACATGTATGATACGAAGGATGTGGTTGGCACACTATACGACGCTACGATATGGCACATGAGTACATAATACTCAGCCCCAAGGAGACGTCAGAGCCTCTTCGCGCTCTCGGCTTCGGCTTGAGCATATGGTAATGGTCGAAACCTTGGGGCTAGTTCGCAACATCAAGATTTCTATCAATGCATACTGTTGGCTCGGATCCTCACACCGCAGTACGAGTGACGAGGCAGGAAGACGGGACTTTACATTGCAGGCAGCGGCAGCAATTCATGGATGCATTGGCAGACCCAACAAAGGGGAGATAATGCGCCAGACCCTGTACCCTGACCACCCTTTCGAAACCTGTATGATGACACGCAACAGGGTATTGTGAGTGGACAAGCTCAATCAGGGCTCGAATTGCTAGTGCATGAGCACTTACGTGGGTGTGGTTCTGCCAGTCTCTTGAGCAGATGTAAGCCTGTGCCCTTCTCGCGGCCGATCGGTAATCATGCAATGCGCTCGGATCCTGGAGACCGATTGACGAGTCTGACATGCTGATGGTAGACCGGTGTAGAGAGTGCACGTGTGGGAAAAAAGAGCGCCGGATCTGGAGATACGAATGCAAGTGATAAATTTTCCGTACAGACGATTGGCTCCTCGAGGTGGCTTGTAAGGCGTTGTCCACCTGCGATCGCCCTGCTGCTTGGGTGTCTAAAAGCAGGCTGGAGGGCTTCGATGTGTAGCAACACGGCTATCCGCCGATCCTGTCGAGCGCAAGTGTGAGGGAACAGCTGTGGCTGGCATCAGGTGAGGATTTAGACGCCACTTTAATCAGATATAGCTTTGGATTGAGTGATCATCAGCTTGTGTTTCATGATGGATTCTCCTAGTAGGGCTAGCAGCCCGAAAAAAAAGCATCGAGTTTGCGGATAGCTGAACAGCTTAGGTTGACCCGGATATGCGGGCGCGGGGGTCGTATTGACGGGAGCTGCTCCGAATGTGCGGCACCAGGGCATGCTGTTGCGATCCGCTCCCTACCCAGGCAGCAAGGTTGAGGGGCGCAAGACGAACGTCAGCGCGAACCAGTTTAGACGACGGTAGCATACGTGGTGTCGAGTGATGTGTGTAACGAGCCCCCCGAAGCGAGGGGCAATTTGAAGACGGGGGTATGTCGCAGAATACTTATCTGCCTGCCTCCCTGCAAATGATAGTTGCAGCCTCGGTGCTGTGCAACGATAGATGCTTGTGCTTGGGAAGCTGGGCGCGTCTCCACAAGAGCGGGAGAGGTTCAGATCATTAGCGGCACCTCCACTTTTTGGGCTGGTTCAGAGCTGACCTTCCACCTTAGGCCGTCGAATGGTCTGGAAGCTGTACGCGAATGTCAGCTGCTAACACAGTACTGGCTTCGGTGTCTTGTAATTTGACTAGTATAGTTTGTTCAAGGGGTTTCCGACTGACGTACACTGTGTCCATCATCCCCTACCATTGCCCTTCCGCCCCGCGGAACCAACGGGAACGCGACTTCTTACACCCCGCACCTCCGTCATATCCATCACCAAATTCATTCCACTTCACGACGCCATGGTATCTGTTTGCGCGACATGTAAAGGTCTCCAGAAACACCTTCATGGGGAAAGCGCGCAAGAGAATGGATCAGAATCGCTTGTTTGGGTCGACACAACGCTGCCAAAACTGAGGTCGAGATCGACTGCCTGTCGCGCCTGCGCTCTCCTTCTCAATGGCGTCCTACTACACCACGACCGCTTCGCAAACATAAATGAGGACAATGTTAGGATCACGGTCGAGTCTTTCAAGCCAAAAACAGGGAAAACACCCCAAGAACATCTCTCAGTTGAGCTTCGCTGGAAGGACAACGACGACCAGAACGACTCCCACGAAGACGACCATGAACCCCCAACAGGCCACCCGGATCTCAAGCTTGAGTTCTTCACAGATGGAGGTACGCGCCAAGTCTCTTTCCATGTATTTTGGTTGATTTTAATCATGGTCGCGGTGGTGGAACGGTCGCCTACTGCTAGCTCGCTTCCTCTGCAGGAACGCGTGGACTGACAATACTGCAGACGGCCAGTCTCCTTTCTCTGCCATTGGGCGAGGAAGGCATATGACAGATAACCCACTGCAGAGTACTGGTCTAGCAACAGCGCGAGGCTTGATAAAGACTTGCCTAGAAAATCATGCTACGTGCAGTCGCCGAGGTAAACCCACGACGCTACCGAAGCGTGTGCTGGACCTATTATCGGGCGACGACTCCAAGAGCATGCGATTACACGAGAGTGAATACATACAGGATGAGAGAAGATACGAACATGGCGAGTACATTGCCTTGAGTCATGTTTGGGGATTAGCCAAAGGAATTCCGAAGACAACTCTGGCAACACTGCAGTCGCACAAGAAGAGCATACCTTGGTCGACACTGCCAAGAGCGTACCAAGAGGCCGTCTTCCTCACGCGAGCACTTGGTTTCCGTTGGCTATTCATCGATAGTCTCTGTCTCATACAAGATGACGTTCAGGAGAAGCTTGAGGATTCGCTCAAGATGGACGAGATCTTCGGCAACGCTTTCCTAACAATAGCGGCAACGTCCGCATCCGACAGTAGTACCCAACCCCTCTTTCCGCCCAAGACACAGCCATTCAAAATACAAGCAACAGATAATAAAGGCTCTTTGCACAAGATAAACGTGAGGGAACAGCCGAGCCACTACAGTTTCAAAGCACCTTTTGACGGGAATGCACATATGAACGAGTGGGAGTTGCCTTTCAATATGTCCGAAGAGGCGAACCTACACACACCGCTCTTGATCCGCGCATGGCCATACGCCGAACGCTTACTTTCGCCAAGGGTGCTACACTTTACCAAAAGCGAGATGATATTGGAATGTCGAGAAGGATATCAATGTGAATGCGGGCGCATCGATGACAGTACCTACGACTCACGGCCAAACGACCAGGTCAAGCAAGAATTTGGTAGAGTCATAGCCGAAACACTTAACAAACCGCAACAAGCCAACAGCAACGGCAACACGGCTCACACGCGCACGGATAGCATGACGAACCAACTGGCCTCCACACATCTCACAAACGGCGCTCAGCAGGAGTTGTTACGCAGACGTGAAGAGACACTCCAACTGTGGTCATACATCATAACTGAATACACTGCGCGGCACCTCACGTACGACAATGACCGCCTGATAGCAATAGCAAGTATCGCAAGAGCCCTTTCGCCAACTCTACAGTCAGGCTACATAGCGGGCCAATGGACGTTTAGCACTCTTGGGCTTCTCTGGTACCCCAACGACAGTTCACGATGCCGCCGTCCGAAACTCGCACAAGGCCAAAATGTACCAAGCTGGTCATGGGCCTCAGTCGAAGGCTCACCAATCTTCTTCGACAACACGAGCGCGATGGATCTCGCGTGTAGAGCTTCTTTTGGTCCAAAAGGGAAGCGGGCAAGTGCTTGGTCACCTATCATGGGTGAGCCTCTCGAGCTCTCAGGAGCCATGGCTGCCGAGGTTGTCGTACACACCACGGCATCACCGGAACAACAGCCTTCGTACATCCTAGCCAAAAACGGCATGACCGTGGACTTTACACCAGACGTCGTACCACTCCCAGCCGAAGACGCGTTGCAAGACGGCGAAACCCTCGTTTGCGTACTCGTCAGCATGACGTTTCGTTCCTCTATCGTCGGCATCGTCCTCAAACCATCATCCGGAAACAATACATATCGCCGCGTCGGTCGCCTAGAATGCTACGAATGTACACCTGAAGGCATCGAACAAGAGATGAGCGAAGACGCCGAAGCGTTGTTTGAGCATTGGTTCCCTGAGATCCAGGACATGACGCAGTTGGACAATTACCCCCAGCGCACTTTTACCGTTGTTTGAGAGTATGCCGAAATGGTACTTTTGTCTTGATAAATTTATTGAGAAAAGGGTTGTTGCGGCGCAGCAATGCGAATGACTCGCTTTCTTTCGCTTTTTATATTCGATACCCCTTGGCTACCAGTGGTTTGAGGTAGACTTTCATTGCTGTGTTTGGGTGTGTACAAGTGGCGTGCTGTTGTTAGAGTAACATATATCAGGTATTATACACCAATTTGAGTCACATCTTGATTCTTGATACAAGAACTGTTGTTGGCCATACCTTGCACATGCAAGATTGTATGAATTTGGTTCAGGGGCGTCTAGCTAAGCTCTTCGTGAGTGCGCCGTCGTCTTCTCGAACATGGTACTCTTAATCCCCGCTGCTCGGGCGGCCGGCTTAGTGTGCGCCATCGGAATTTCCTCCGTCTTGGACTCACACTTGGCACATGCACAAGGACTTTGCATGGCAGTCACAGTGTCGGGACATGCCGGTATTCATGATAACATCGATGATGCGTAGCGTACATGCCTCCTGAGTTCTTTGTAGGTAATCATCTGAAGATGCGAGAGGCCGATAGAAACATATGAGTCGAACAAAGCCACGGGACGAACTGTGACCTTTGGACAAGATGACAGCACCAAACCTACACATTCACAACGAATCTCTTCCCACTACCTTCAGCATTCGATAATAAGTTTTCCAACGCCCCATCAATACCTGCCAGCCCAGCTTGCACTCTGTCAACAGGCTGTGCAACAATCCATCCCTTCTGTATCCCAAAGGGGAGATACTCCTCGATAACCCACTCAAGTAGACGCTCGTTCTCTTGCTCATACAGCGGTTCTGACCATGCTTTAAACACCCTTTGTACACCATCTGGTAGGTCCTCAGGCGCGAAAGATGGCTGCGTAGCGTAAAGTATACCACCGCCCTGCGCTTTCAAAACCTGGCTTGTGATGAGAATGGTTTGTGGAGTGGATATCATATCGACAACAACTTCGTACGGCCCTCTCGCCTTCAGCTCCTGAATAACTTGTTGAGAAGGTAGTGTATGATCCACTGCATCATCCACGCCTAGTTCACACACACGGTTCACATGCCGTGGTGAAGCAGTCGTAGTAACCGCATACCCAGCGCGGCAAAGATATCGCACAGAGAGCTGGCCAAAGCTCGAGCTGCCTCCATATATCAAAATCTTCTTTTTCTCTTCTGTTCCTACAGCTGGGATCTCTTCAGCAGGTCTCCGCAGCCCGAGCTGCCCAGAGAACAGTCCAGGAACACAACTCGCATTCATAACTAGACTGGCTAGAACCGCCTCATCACTTCCTTCAGGGATCCGAATAACCATCTTCTCCTCAGCTGCGACAAGGACATAGCTCTGGTAGGCACTATATTGATTTCCTGTTGTACCAAATCGTTTGCTCACCAACACGCGTGCACCGATGCAGTAATTCGTGATTGCAGAACCAAGCGCTTCAACCGTGCCAGTGTAAGAGGAGCCCAAGATAGCAGGATAAGCGACGGGGATGGCGGCTAGCTTTGCGATCTTGGCTTCTATGGCATTGAGGCCTATTGTGGAGACTTTGATGAGGAGTTCTTTTGGCGCTGGCGCGGGAATGGGGAGAGACTGGACAGAGAGGGAGGCTTTGGGGGAGGGGAGGACTGCGGCAAGGTTCATGATGGGGACGAAATCGAGCGGAAGAAAGAGGCAGATATTGGGCTATGAGCCTTGACGTGAATTCGTAGTTGCTGATATCAAATGTTACTCATAAGGTTTGCAGAGAACGAGCGGTGGGTATAGTCGTCGATGATTAAGCGGTAGTAATCCTTCGGAAAGTTTCCGCGATGCATTACACAGCACAACGCTGTCTGCAGTCCTTTCGTCCCAACGACACTCATGGGATACCAGGTGATTTGGGCACTCAGAACGATGTTGACCGTGTTCCAGCATTGACCTAGAGGGCTGATGTTATACGGTCTGGCTTGGTTGTTGCGTGAACTCGGGCTTGGTTTCCATGTTACTCTGCACATGGCTCTTGAGTGCTGCCCAGCGATCTTGTACTGCATCAGCGCCCGGTGTCGCGTTGCCAGTGCCACGCACTAGCTGTGCCAGGTTCGCGTTGAATCTCTCCTTCTCTAGTTTGTCCAGCTTTTCCTTCCTCTTCTTCGCGCCCTTTGTCCTTTTCATGCTCTCCAGCTTGACCTTGGGCTGAAGTATGCGCGCCTGACTCGTTTCGAGCTCGCCGGCTGTTGCAGCATCTGGGAGCGCGTCGGCGAGCGACTCGAGGTTTGCGACTAGCTTGTTGTTGGGTCGCCTTCGCTTTTGAGTCTTGGCAGATGATTTTTCTATCTTGGAGACGAAGGAAGAGTGCTTGATCTTCTGCTTATCACGCTTGGAAGAGGGGAGCGAGGAAATGCCATCAGGCTTTGGAAGAGCCGCAGTCGAGGGACGGGCTGCGCGAGCCGACTTTGCGCGCGCGGTTGTGCGCTTCTTTATGGGTGCCTCGAGAGTTGTGTGAGTATTAATTTACTATACGGGCATAACCTAAAAAAAACTTACCATGACGGTGTTGCGACAGAGCAAAGTTGGGAGAGCACAGTCGCATTGGACTTGAATTCTTGGCTGGGGAAAAGTTCTTATCGATACCGGTAGTGGTGCAAGGTTCCGACGTCAGCCCCATTTCATGGGTACCTAGGAGACACTCACGCGAATCGAGCCACATGCCTCACCTCCAACAGTTGCTACTGATGGTTCCATGTCAACCTGGGATCTCAAAGCAACGCGTTGAATCCAGCCCACAGCATCAAGTCCGTGGGAGCTGCCATGCGAGCCTCTGCGAACAGGGTACTCAACTCCGTGCCAAGCGAGGACCTCTGCCACAATTGTATCATCTGATCATGCCTCATCACTCGGCTTCGCCAATTACATCTCAGCCGCCCTGACAAGATTAGAGCATATCGGACTTCGCTAGCTGCGGCCCGTTCCACATCACCAATCTGGTGGCTACCGATTGCATCAACAGTACACCCGTTATCGTCCATGTTGCATCGTGCGACCGCATCCCGATGTTTCGTTTCTCACATGGTTCAATCAGATCCATCATGCCATAGATATGTTTTCCACAGGCATGTCAAGGTATTAGGCCGGATATTGCTTTTTCACCACATCAAACCCATGCTGAAACGCTGTCATTTAACTTCAGCTACCACTATACACGGAAAGATAGCCCGCCGGCATGTACAACATCCTCGTATCACTGTGGCGGCATCCTTCATCCCAACACTACGGACCTGGGCTCAGCTCGACGGCAACTGTCTAGCCTAGATGCAGGCACGCGTGCGACCGATCTGCAACATGTCCCTCCCGTTCCACTCATCGTCTCCTACCATTCGCTGCTGCCCGCAATCCAACTCCCTTCCGCTTCTATTTCCAGTCTTCTAGACGAAACTGCAAGCACTCCTCACCCTCTTTGCCGCGACAAAAGGCAATCATTCGCATGAACATGCAAAGACGCGTAGCCCTGGTGACTCGGACTTTAGGGGAGCCTTACAGACCGTGTATGCAGCACTTGTCCGAAGTTCGACGATATCTGGCCTCATCTATTCTCTTGTAGCCGTCAGCATGCTATTTCGATAAAGATTGACCAAAGCTCATTTCAATGCAATCTCCGAACGGCACAAGTCAATATGTGCAACCAACAAGCCCAGCAGGAGAACGCGCTCATTTCTGCTCAGAACCATGGCACTATTCTGGTAATGGTCGCTTGGTTCCTTGCTTGCCTATTGGTACAAGACACCTTCTCTTATCCACTCTAATACTGAATCATCATTATAGGCGATATGTACCATAGCAAGAGTTATCGCTCGATACAGGTCTGAACACCTTCGCCATCTTACTTCGACAGATGATATCATCATTATCGCCGCATCGGTCTTTGCTCTTGGAAGCACCGTAATAATATCTACAGCCCTCGACTCGGGTTTAGGAAAGAAGAATTGTCTTCTGGATGACGGAGACTTGGAGCAAATCCAACTCAAGCTTTTCGTCACGACAATATGCTTCGTTCTGACAATTAGCTTAGCGAAAAGCTCGGTCCTACTTTTTCTGTATCATCTAGCAGACAATACCTTTCGGAGGGCGAGCGTCTTAGCTGTCAGTGTACTGGTACTGGTATGGACTATCGCAGTTCTAGGCGGTACGGTCTTCCAATGCGAACTACCTACGCCATGGATGGTATGGACGGGCAAATGTATCCCATTGGTAGGTCAGATCGTCACGTAGCAACTAGGACCGTACCTGACTGCAACATAGGTACCATTCTGGATGATTGCAACGATTTTTGACGTTGTCCTAGAAACAGCTATCATCGCGCTCTGCACGCATCGCGTATGGACTCTTCGTGATTCTTGTCGTCAGAAGACTTTAGCCACACTACTCTTGTCGATGCGTTTCATGTAAGTGGGAAGCCTGCTCCCAGCTATGTGGCTACCGTTTCTGATGACTTCTCGAAGCTTGGTAGCAGCGTCCGTCGTTCGTCTAGTCTACCTCCAGCAAGCTTATGGTCGCAACGGGGACCCTGCTTTTGACTCGATACCTTATGCCGTTGCTACACAAAGCCAAACCATACTCGCTGTCCTGATCGTCTGTAGCCTCTGCCTCAAGCCTTATGCTCGCTTTGAAGCATCTCGATCGCAGGCACCCAAACACAAATTCAGACACTCAAAACACTGGTCTGGCAGCATTACCATCGGTGGCACACCATACGAGTCTTACAATTCTTTTCCACCGCCGATCATAAGAGAGCCTCTCCTGTCCATACAAGCGAGTATGTCGCAACCAAACTCCCCTGCAGTATCCAGGCACTCATTGAATGACGATATACTGCTGCCTGACATACCGGTGCCGACACGCTCTGCTAAACGGCCACTTAGGCCTCCGCCACCCAGCGAGGAACAACGACCGGATCTTAGCATGTTCACTAGAAACATCACCATACAGCAGCCGCCGGTGGTAACACGACTGGGGGCTTTACAAGAGAAACGGAGTGATAACGGTCTGAGGGTGAGGAACCTCACTTGACGCAGCGTAATAGTGATGTCTATCCGGAGGTAGATGCAAGAAAGGTCGTTTTATATTTGCGATAGACGTCTAGAATAGATAACATAGACATATAGAAATACTTCAATTCTGCCTTTATTCGGCCAATTTACACTTTGTTATAAGTTACTGACGTACACAGTATGCGACGGCGTGGGCCACCTAAGAGACAAAGCGACTACCTGCATGTCTTGTGGAGCACTGGGTAGGCTTATCACGCATCATCAAGCGCCTCTCACAGCACGGTCGGACTCTCACATCTCGTTCCGTCAGCTACAACAGCACGTTGTCAATGAGGCAGGAGGCACATTATGATGTAGAATGAACTATTGTTAATGACTATAGTTGTAAAGCCTTGTCCTATTGCCGTACGCTGGCACCCGAGGAGAAGTAGGTAAAAACAGAGGACGTTTCGCCGTCAATGACTTTCGGGAAGGATATATCCCGGTTTTAATGAATAGTTCGACACCTACATGGCCAGTCCCATGTCAATGGCTGATCTCCAATAGGTTGTAGTGCTTTTTACGAACCGTCCAACACGGTACTTGGCATGTGGACACTAATATCATTAAAGCTGCACTGACTCCTTCTTTCTATATAGACTCAATTCAAGCCATGGCTATTTAGTTGTTCTACTTTTGAGATCCCGAGATTCCTTTTGCCTCATGGCTCTACTCACTCTCTCTTTCTAGACATGGCCGTTTTCGATCCAACCAATGTCGATCTTACGACAGCAGACCAGGCAAAAGTCATCTGCTACTTCGCTCTTGGCGAAAATGAATACAACGGTCAACTCGGCGCGCGGATATCATCCATCTTCGTTATCGGCTTTGTCTCGACGATCGCCACATACTTCCCTGTCATCGCCTGCAAGAAACCGTCTTGGAAGATTCCCCTCGGTCTGTACACGTTCGCACGCTTCTTTGGTTCCGGTGTTATCGTCGCTACAGCCTTTATCCATCTACTAGACCCAGCATACGAAGCCATCGGTCCAGGCAGTTGCATAGGGAAAAGTGGAGGCTGGGCGGAGTATCCTTGGTGCGCTGCCATCGTACTGACATCCATCATGGCTGTCTTTTGCGTAGACCTGGGTGCAGAAGTATACGTCGAACATAAATTCGGTGTCGCAAAGGAGGAAGCTGGCGGCTCGGATAGCGCATTCCTACGCTCCGATAGAAACACCAATCCAGCTGTATTAGTTATAGACACCGGAGCTCATGCCTCAATGCAACACCGGCATCACCAGCATCGGAAAGACACAGCCAGTCTCCACAGCAAAAGCTCCACCTCTTCGAATATGACGTCGTCAACAGCAGATCGTCTGTCCTTCGCCCAGCAAATAGTCGCTTTCCTCGTTCTGGAGTTTGGAATCATATTCCACTCGGTCATCATCGGTCTGAACCTTGGCGTTGTAGGCGATGAGTTCTCAACCCTCTTCCGTAAGTGTCCCTGTACGAGCTGCATGTGAGACATACACAGATTTCTTACACCGATATTTAGCAGTCCTTGTGTTTCACCAATCCTTTGAAGGCCTTGGTATTGGTGCCCGGTTGTCCAATATTCCCTTCCCACGGAGCAAGAGCTGGATGCCGTGGGCTCTCTGCGCCTTGTACGGTCTTACTACCCCCACTTCTATTGCCATCGGGTTAGGCGTTCGCACAACCTATCTACCTGAGAGCAAGGTCAGCTTGATGGTCCAGGGTGTGTTGAATAGCGTTAGTGCTGGTTTTCTGATATATAGTGGGTTGGTGGAGTTGCTAGCCAAGGATTTCCTGTTTGATAGGCAAAGGACGAAAAACCTCGGGAACTTAGGACTGATGGTGATTTACGTCTTTGTAGGAGCCGCGACTATGGCGCTCATTGGTTATTGGGCATAGCTTGGTTTGTATCACTTCATCGTTCATTGGAGGCACGAATGCAAAAGCGGGGAAGTAGTCAGAAGATTCTCAGACCACTTCGAATTTGTAGATTCATCCTAACAGGGTATTGAAACCCCCCACGTGCCCATGTGCTGCACTCAAAGACTCACTTCTCGATATTCCTGGAGGAGTATAAGACCTTCAAATCCCGGAGGTCTGCAATAACCTGATCGATCTGACTGACCTCCTCCAGAGAGACTACTTGCTCGTAAATGTCTGCTACCCGGAGGTCCCAGTCCGAGGTCCCGTCCAAAGAACTATCTGACGATCCCCGGTACGACTCCAGCATGGAGAAATCATCTGAAGCCCCTGGAGCGGAGTGTAGGACAGGGAATTCTAAGGCGAGGGGTGGCGAACCTAGGGTAGAGCTTGGTGAGCGGGGAGACAGCGGCAGAGGACGATCAGGAGCTACAACTGATTAGTCACCAATTTTCTTGATATCTGTACAATATCGTAACTTACTATTAGGTGGATAATCCATCGAACTACCAGGAGATCCAAGCGATATAGACCTCTGTGTAGTCTCACTAATCACTTGCTCCCTCTGTGCGCAAAACGACGGCGGCGAATTATCATCTCGCGGAAGGATAGGCAGAGAACACGAGCGCGTCTGCGTCAAGCACAAAAGCATTGCTTCTTCAATAGAGGCTTGTTGCTTGAGCATGGTGGTACGACACTCCCTAGAATACCTCAATGTTAGTTTCCGTAATTTCAGCGCAGCATGAACGTCCGAATAGATCCACATTAATCATTGCTGCTAATAGGTTGAGGAAGTGTGATGAGAAGGAGACCCTCGCATGTTGAACATCCTGTGACACCAGGTATTGCCTGGGTGACGCAAGTTCTCGATGCGGTAGCTTCTTCGTAGATGGGCTGTAGCAGGTGGCTTAGCGTACGTTGGGCGGACGTCGAAGACGTCTCGGCAAAGCTCTTCTAAGCAGCGATTGTTGAGGCGAGACAGGTTGTAGCCCTGGGACTAGTATTAGTTTCAAAGCTCTGGCTCAGCGTACATTAAGAACTCAGAAGACCCACACGGTCGACTCCTAGCTCTCGAAGGTGCTTCTTCGCTTCTTTGAAGTTCTCATCACTCTCCTTGATCCAGTATCCGAATAAGGAAAGGTGCACATCTGCGATGGTCATGTTGCGAATTTCGCTAGCGAACCTCTCAACATCATCGGGTGTAAGATTTACGTGGAGAGATTCGTGGTGCTGACGGTAGTTACGGTTGCCTAGTGGAGCGCGAGCAGTATCATGGACGACATGCGTATCTTTGCATCTTTGAGATTCTTCCCTGACATTCTGACTGTCGACGGTATCGTTGCACTCATACTGGTAACGGTCGTCAGGTTTGACAGTGAGTATGGTGGTGTCGTCATCTCCAGGTTCTTGGAGTTGCGCGAATTTTCGGTCTACGATTGTGTCAGTTCCCATTTTTCGAGTCGATCAAATTCACTCACGACGCTCGCGAATCTTTTCTAGCTTCATTGGCCCTATGGGGCTAACGGTCTCGATGGAACTGGCAGTAGTGATTGGTTGAACCCTGCACACAGTCTCAACGCTTTCCTCGTCGTCCGCACACTCTGAGTTCACAACTGTCGCCAACGGACTACTGCTAGCGATCCTACTACGGAGACCACCGTCGCGGCTGAAGAGGCTTCCGAACTTTCTGATGCTGCTCTTACGGAAGGTTCTGCGGTGATCTTGATCGTTACCAGCATCACTCTTACTTTCTTCGCTTTTGCGTGGCACTTGGACAAAATTCCCTTTGCGATAAGAGTTGTTTCGAGATTTTTCGGGTCGAACATAGAGCGACGGTACTTCGGCCGGTGAAAAATTTGTCGCAGCAAGAGTAGCCCGCATTGCTGCATGTGGGAAATCCATGCTTCCAGTTCGTCGTGGCGTATGTTTGCGATGATCAAAGCAAAGTAATGAGGGGATGAAGTCAAAATAATCTAGCAGATGAGGACGTGTTGCGTAATAAACGACGTGAAGACGAAAATGAAAACGCAAACGTGACCAAGTGTGCAGCTTGCGCGCCGATACTGAAAAGTGAAGGTGAAGGTGAAGTGGAGACCTAAACGTTGAGTGGGTATGTCAAACCAGTGAATCGCATGGCCGAGAATAAACAATGGAGAGAGACGAAGGCCAAAAAAAGACGATTTCAGCAACAGCCGGATGCGAGATCCCATCTAGAACACGAATACGTGATAGACATTAGATCGATATCAAGGACCAAGACAGGGAAAGGCCGAAGATAAATTTGAGCCAACGACTGAATCTTGCACCGAATCTACCACAATCTGTCAGCATCCAAACCCCTTGCATAGAAAAAAGGTTTGGTAGAGTGTCGGATGAATCTTTTTTCATAGATAGGTACTGACGTTGGTCAGCAACACTTTCTCAACACAATATACATCTTAAAGTAACTGATGCGATCGGGTTCAATAGAATACAGCTAGAGTCATAGGTGCTTGTCTTTTTGATCAACACTGCTACTTCTCAAGAACTCACTATGTCAAGCTTGACAACCGGTATACGTCTATGATGGATAGTTCAGAGACGAACTAGTAGTCGCAAGGGCAATTGACGACAACGCCACCCCCAAGTCGTAGAGACTAGTCGAAGGCGGTGCTTGATGCAGATATTAACGCCAAATAAGTGCAGAATGTTTGGTCTTGGAGTACCAGAGCGTTGTGACATCGTCGTTCTCACATGACAGGCTAGATCGTAGATAGCTCAATCGCATGAGCCAGCAAAGAGCTTGAGATTAGCCCTCTCTTCTCGACGCTAGAGAGCGAGCAAATTCAAAGAGATTATGTGGGCAACAGATGTGGTATACATTGGACAACAAGATAGGGTGAGCCAGCTAATGGTGAGCCGGGAGACAAATCTTGTCAATAGACTTTGGTCAAGATCGAGGAAGGAAGAAGCTGTACAACATTTCGCCTGAGTCATGAACTGGATGGGTAAGCGAGTATGAGGAACTTGAGACTCCATATTACTAGCCATGCTCACGTCCATGCAGTCTCATACTAACAAGCTCGAGGGTGTTTGAAGAATGAGGGCCTTGGCACTGGGGGAAAAGAATTGCGACAATCGATCCAAAAGAATTAGAGACCATATGGTGAAGTTACGCGACACGAACGATGGGAGACGATCGCAGTGCTGGGGGCATCCGACGACTTCGGTCTTTAGTTGCGACCCAGCCAACGGAATGTGCGAAGGTAAATCGAAAGTGTTTAGTGATCAGATGAGGTTTTCGAGAGGCAGATGTGCAAGGCGAAGGCATGACGACGGCTTGTGCTGGTGGGCTGCTCCCGCGCGGCAGAGACTGCCTTGGCGATATCTTGGACCTGCACCTTCCTCCTCTTCGCCGAAAGGGCCGATACAACAACACGTAGGATCAACTTCTCTCGGTGTATAGCCGTTGTCAGTCAAGCTTCACCTGCATGCAGTTTCTTCTTGGACCTCGTCTCGGCGATCCTGATCCTTTTGACGGCCCGAGCTCCTTGCCCGCGGGCTGCAAGATTTCCTATCCACTACCCGAACGGCTTAAAAGGAATCTGCACAACTCATCGCTTACAATGGCCCCTCACTCAGGCGCATCGGATTAATCTAAAAAGACTCTTTCATGCACCCATTGCGTCTACAACTGGTATGGCATTTGTACGCTCGTGCCAGTAGCCTGCATGGATCAGCTCGCACGGCGCTTATACACGTTACACAACACACTGCACGACGGTGTCTGCCGCGAGCAAGATCAGCCATACCCACTTTCCAAGGCGACCTCGATATTGCGGCGCAGTCGTCGACCTGACACCAATTGCACTGCCCTAACTCCTATGTCGTGATAGAGACAAAATGTGGGAAGACGTTCGGCCACTCAGGTCATGGGGGCCAACTCTGATCAGCGAACTGATGATCCTAGCTCTGAGCGGCTGAGCGCCTCGGGAACGAGAACAGGAGGAGCCTGATGGCGACGAACCACACACGAGAACGCCTTCTTCTTCTGGTCTGACCATGAGATCGGAACATCTGCCTACGTCTCAAAGCAGGTAGCGATCATGCCTAGCTGAAGGGGCTCGCAGGCTGAAAAGATGCTTCGTGGAGCTGATTCGCCAGACCATGCAACAACGTCGAGCGAATGGGGGCTGTGAGCCGCTGTCCCTCGACACCAAACCACGGCAGCAGATCCCAGCAGTTCAGGACAGCGCCCGATGTTGGTTCACACCCTGGTTCCACATTGTTGGCATTGTCTATTCCGCAGGCGCTGCTCTATATGAAATTGCGGCGTGGTTGATGCAACTTGTCCGCTGTCAACCAATGACGCCCCAACATTAGCGCCTCCGCCAGTTGGGTCGCCAATCATTCCCTACTTAGCCGCATATCTAACATCCTTCACCCTCTAGGAGGTTTCCGTACCATGTCGCAACGGCGGGGGTAGTACAGACAGGCGGCTCTTGACGTCTTGACAACGCGTATACTCTAACGGCGTAGGTCCACCGTTGCCACCTCAGTAGCATGACATGCGCAGATAGATCTGTCAGCGCTGCAATCGGTGTGGTACGCACCGTCGCGGCGCGGATGACGCGTGTGGTGTGCTTTCATATAAACAAAAGTGTAGCCTGCAGGCCTCAGGTGGTACCGCTTTCAGCCCTCTGTTATCGTTCAGTTTGGTTTCGGGGCGCAGCCCTTGGTCTCCTCTTCCGTTTGATTTACCCAGTTGACCGGTCTCGTTGCTACGCCGCAATAACCTTCTTTCGGTACTTGCGTCTGTCTACGGGTGCCGCCTTCTTTTACATCCTTCGCCGCCGCCATTCCCGTGCTTCTTTTCGTATTGTGCGTCTCGTTCGCACCACTACATCACGCCTCTGAGATTTAAAATTATTACCTCTATTCGAAAGCTTGTCTTAAACTTGGCACTGTCACACCTTGACAGACATGGCTACACTCTCTGTGCCGTCGCCTAACCTGGGCTCAGCTTCATTGGGTGACAGCATCCACAGGCCACTCTCCACCCATGGCTTGCCAAAGCAGCCGCGTACAATGTCACCCGAACGACCACATCGGTTTTCAGCAAAGAGTTACCCTCCTCCAGCTCTTATTCACACTCCCATGACACCACAGTCGTTGGGACCAATGTCCCCCCCACCCATGTCAGCAAAGTCCTTTGGGACGTTCATCGACTCAGAGCCATCGACACCAGCCTACTCACCAAGAATGGATCACGAGTGGGGCGACTCATCGGTGGTCTTAGTCCGACCTATGTCTTCGTCCTCAGAGCCATCCAGCCCTACCGAGCCTGTATGGCGCATGCTGCAACCGCTGCCAGTAAAGGCTCCGCCCAAGCCTAAGGCTATCGTCGCAAGTCCTCAATCTATGGTTGCAGCCACTACCGCCAAGGAGATCTCAACGAACACTTCGCTTTCATCACATCCTACTAAACAGGCGAGGCACATCAGTCGCCCACAAGAGTTCAAGCTGGCAGATCTATCGCAGCAAGACTACACCCCAAAGAGTGAAGATATCGCAAAGGACGATGAGAAAAGGCTACAAGAACAGACTGCCAGCACTCCCACCGCGGCGACCTTTGGCAAGCTGGCGACAAAGATGAAGTTAATGTTACGAAGGAAGAACACAAACGCAAAGAAGAAAGAGAAGAAAAAGAGGCAGTACGAAGAAGTCGACCGTATCGAGGACGTCCACTGGACAGAGATGTGACATGCATCTGTGAAAAAACAAAGCGGACGCATTGTTATGTCGAAGTCTGCCAGTACTGTACTTATGATAGAGGGTGGACGTGCCAGAAGGGACGAAACACAGAGAGTGTATTGTTCGGAAGCAGGTCACATCTGGATGGCTAATAAGAATACTGAAGCTATGGTCGGGAAGGGGCGGGTACATCATCACACACGGAGATTGCTATCAATACTTATCAAGTCAGGTTAATGAGCTGCTGGTCGCCACCGTCACTCTCATCGGCGTATATGTGGCATTTTCTTGTGTCTACGGGAGGATATGGGAGGCGTTTTGGATTCTTTTGCTTTCCACGAGTTGCACAAGCAAGTAACGACGATACCCAATCCTTACAACAGTCTATTAGTAGCAACCATATCTTTTCAGTCCCTAAACTTGTTATGCTCGGTGCCAGTGTCGACACGGCAAATCAGGTTTTCTATTATCGCTCATCGCCATCGTTCTTGGTTAATTCAATGAGCTATGTACGCAAATTGTGATGATCATTGGAAGCGTCAAATCGTTGCCAAGCCCTGCTCGATTGTTCCATGTGAAAGAGCGATCAAGTTAGCGCATGCACAGACCCCGATTGGAATTCCACAACGCGCAACAACCCTAACACATCTCGTCCAACTTGCAGTATCACACAGCTTTTACAGGCAGAATGATCCCAAGACGGTTGGGAAACGCTGCGCGGCTCAAGTGCGCAGTCAAGGCGCAGCCTCAAGCCCGGCTGCAGAGGCCACTTGCAGCGGCGACCCGCACTTTGCGAGTACACACAGAGGGACGCATTTATACAAGTCTAGCATCACGTGCCACTGAGCAAACGCGACAATTGCACTCACGCTTCGGGTGCTCCGGAACCCATGGCAAAGACACTCACCGCGACAACGCGAGATGGAAACAGCTAACTAGGGACCCCACAACTATCCTCCTCGAGTCCGGCTTCCCAACCAAGACCGTACTTGTTCTTCTCGTGCTCGGCGGTCTAGCATACTACTTCGTCGATATCGTAGAAACGGACTGGACAGATAGCGTCTATGCGGCTTTTTCATCTGGCGATGATGCCTCCGCCCTTGCGACACCTCTCCATTTCTACAACTCCCGTGAGGAGATCCAACACG